TCAATTACGGTAGAAAGCCCGCAATAATGGTCCGCTTGTGGGCCGCCTTGATGGATGTGGGTCCGCCGCCGGCGTCGACTCATGCCCGTTCAACTACGCGGCCAATTTTCCCTCCCCTCCATCCTCTCTCTCTCTCTCTCTTTCTCTTCCCGCGCAACCTGTCCGTCTATCTATCTCTTCCTATGTGTGTATATATATATATATATATACGTTTATCTTTGTCTTTCTCTTCGTCATCCACTCGTTTCGCGGGGGGAAAAATTGTCAAATGGAATTCTTTTCGAACTGTCGTTCGTTGACAATCTTGACACACGAACACGATACACCTGGTGCCACTGGAACGTAACGAAGACAGGGTAGTGGTGTCCGGTTGATCGTGAGAAGTCGATTCGAACCGGTTGGGTTGTCGTTGTCAATTCGACGGAGGAAATTAACGATACACCGGGGAGCGTTATCATATCAATGATCGCAATAAGCTTGGAAATCGATCCAACCCTATTGTTTCAATCGTAGAAGGAGAAAATGGTTGTGTTACAATTAGTTGTTACGAAGCTTATCGAGAAATTGTATTTGTTGAGAAATGAAAGTTCCCTCCTTTTTGATAAAGTATTCTATCTTTTTGATTCAAGATAAAATGGAAATTCGTTGAAATAAATGGATCAGTTGGTCGATCTATAAATCGTAACGATCGTCATTGGCGTAATATTCACCCTGAAAAAGAAAAAAGGAAACGATCACTGGTGAACCTGTTACAGTCGAAAGATTCGTCGAAGGGTTCCTTTAAACGATTCGGGGGTCGCTGTTGCCCCCCCTCTTCGAAATTATTACGATTATATCTGGCGTAAAACCCCATTCCCTCCGCTCCACATGGCGGTGTTTCACCCGTTCGCCTCGCTTTGTTCCGCCCCCACGTCCCACCGTGAAATGTCCATTACGTCGTGCGATTTTTTTTTTTTTCTTTTAAATCGACCCTTTCACCCCCCCAGTCGTATTAATTTCGATTTTGAACGTGGTTCGAGCCCAATAGACCGTGACGTAGGTCGAATTTTTACGAATTTTATGGAATACTGGTTAGCTTAGAAAAATTTAACGAGTTTTCGAGACGTCTGCTTTCGATGAAGCTGTAATCGAGTAAGAGAGAGAGAGAGAAGCAGTCAAGTCAATAACTGTTTGATCGAACGTTTCTAATTTCGATTCCGTGATAATTATTATTCCAGCTACCACTATGTTTCGACGCTTTTACATTAATTGTTTATAATGTATCTGGCTTGGGCATTCGTAATTTTAGTAATTTGTGGCACGTGAAAAGAGTAATGTGTCACAAATTGTTTCAATTTCATCGGATTATTTACTATCAGCAATTGAGAACGATGAATTTGAGAGAATAAGATAATTCGTTGATTAACGCGATAAATATTTCAACTATATTTCGCTGATGATAAATATTATATCCCTTCCTTCTGATTCTGTTTGCATCCAAAAACGTTTCACAATTGTTAGATAGATATACACCACTGAACGAGAGAGTAAAAAAAGCATCGAATTAAAAACAATCATCCCCTTCTCGTCGCGAGATTCGAAAATCACTTGGAACAAAATTCCAATAAAATAAATAACGTTACTTTAAAGAGCCATTTAACTCATCAAATCGTTAGAAACGTATTAAAACTGGCGTTTCTATAAATCTGTACACGTGAAGAACTGAACCGAGATCGGTTGCTAAAAAACGGGCTAAAAAGGTGGTTTCGCGCATCCGCCGCGTTAGACAACGTTTCCTCGCGAAACGAGGTGTGTCGCAAACTTTTCAACGCCGTGAACCTTCGCCATCCGCCACTTCCGTTTCGTTTGTACGTATACGCGGAAATCGTCACGATTCCGCGAAGAACAGGCGCGCGTCGAGACGTATCAGTGGCGCGTGACTGCGTAAAGCTTCGCCGTTAACAGCGTCTCGTCGCCGAGGACTAAGAGCCGTTTTCGCTTCCAGTTTCGCTGGAAGAAGTGACTGTAAAATCTGCACCTTGTAAAATTGCGCGCAAGTGTATCTCAGAACCGATGGGACGTTAAACTTAAACCGTGGAACGAAACGATCCTTGTTTAGAGACACGACGAATCGAGTGACATTTCGACCATTTCTAACGATGCAGTGAATTGTATGAAATAATTTTGAGTATTATTTAGAAATTGAAAGCGAGAGTAAGAAAGGTATCTTTGTTTAGGGACACGACGAATCGAGAGTAAGAAAAGTAAACTTAAATTGTAGAATGAAATGATCCTTGTTTAGGGACACGACGAGTCGAGTGACATTTCGACCATTTCTAACGATGCAGTGAATTGTATGAAATAATTTTGAGTATTATTTAGAAAATGAAAACGAGAGTAAGAAAGGTATCTTTGTTTAAAAACACGACGAGTCGAGAATAAGAAAAGTAAACTTAAACTGTGGAATGAAATGATCCTTGTTTAGGGACACGACGAATCGAGTGACATTTCGACCATTTCTAACGATGCAGTGAATTGAATGAAATAATTTTGAGTATTATTTAGAAATTGAAAACGAGAGTAAGAAAGATATTCTTGTTTAGGGATGCAACGAATTTATAATTTTGAATATTATTTAAAAGCGAGATTAAGAAAAGTAAACTTAAACTGTGGAATGAAACGATCCTTGTTTAGGGACAGGACGAGTCGAGTAATATTTCGACCATTTCTAACGATGCAGCGAATCTATAATTTTGAGTATTATTTAAAAGCGAGAATAAGAAAGGTAAACTTAAACTTTCGTGAATCTATGATTGTACGAAATAATTTCGAATATTATTTAGAAATTGAAAACGAGAGTAAAAAAGATAAACTTAAATAGTGGAATGAAACGATCCTTGTTTAGGGACACGACGAATCGAGTAATATTTCGACGATTTCTAACGATGCGTTGCTGTGATTGTACGAAATAATTTCGAGTATTATTTAAAAAATATAATTAATATATTTAAAAATATAATTTTTAATATATTAATATTAAAATATAATATAATTAATGTAATAAATATAATTTAATATATATAATACAAATATAATTGAAAACGAGAGATTAGAAAGATTTCTCAAAGAGGAAGTTGAATGAAAATTGATATACAAAGTGATTTAACTTGCAAAATTGTTATTTTAAAATTTTCTTCTTCAAATTTTGTTCCTTTAAATCGGCGAATAGTTTCGAATAATAACGAAATATAATAATAAAACCTATCACGGATTTTTATTCTGGAAAATTCTAATTAAAAAATTATGTAACTTCTTTTATCCATCGCGAAACGCATTCCATCAGAAAAATGCAAATTTCGTTCGTTTTGGTCGTCGCTTTCTAAACTTTAGATCGAGCAAAAAGCGAGAGATGGTAGAGGGAAAGGTAAGCAATGGTTGCTCCATCTTTCGTCCGATTTAATCTATTTCTCTACCCGATTTTGAATAAAGTGATTTGGAAACCGGTTGCAAAACAATCGTTGAGCCGACGTTTTCTTTTCCTGGTTTGATTAACACGTCGCGTTGAAAACCGCGACTTATCGATCCGATCGCCCGATAAATCCAGTGAAAAATAAGTCGATATACCCGTCGACGTTAATATACCTGTTAATCTATGTTCACAACACTATTGCTATTAATATCGTTACGCGATAAATCGTCGGGGGAGGATATTTGATTTGAAAATTGTCCAAAATCGGATTTACCGCGGCCAATTTTCTCCGAATGAATTTCGTTAATTTTCTACACGTTGAATACGTACAAGCCTCTATAAACGATCCTTTTTCGAATCGTTTCCACGATTATTAAAGCACAGACTGGTTTCTGATCTTTCTGATTCTTCCAATATGGTGGACTTAAAGTACCTTCCTAGAGAAAGAGGTTACATTTTTGAATTGCAAATCGAAAACGAACCATCCAATCTATCTTGGTACTTTTACATCGAAGCTTGGGTCATTTTACCAAGAAATTTATTCGAGAAGAATACCTCCTTTTTACTTCCTTCTTAATTACGCTTTGGAAAAATATTTATCCAAAAGATAGATAACAAGATGCACCCGCTGTAATAAACTAATAAATTCGATTCGCATCGTGTCCACGTAAGAAAATATAAGGGAAAATCCAAGGGACGGTAACTGGAGAAGAAGTAAATAATCCAGCCTATTGTACATACACACATATGATATATAACAGAAATATATATATATATA